AAGTATTACCAGATCCTGTCGGTACATGATAAGCCTAATATCTGCAGAGATTTAATTCTAGCGAAATGACGTGATCTGAACTTTTAACGCATGTAGATGAAAGTTGGTTGATTGAATATAAACCTCATGTGGCACTATTTACCTGAGACAGGCGCTTTGCCGGCTGGGCAGGAGATTGACCGACCGATAGTGGCTGGACTTGGGCATCCGGGGGCGGAACGCAGGGTTGCTAGAGGACAGCACTAGCGCTGCCCTGCTTATAATGCTTTCGTATCTCTTGTGCGCCTATACAGGAGTATAAATGAATAACCGGGAATTTGCGCGACTTGAGAATCTCCTTTCATTGTCTAAAAAATGCAATTCTGTAGATAGACTAATGAAACGCGAACTTTTACATCTGCACAACTTACTATTACATACTTATTATAATTGTAGTGAACTCATAAGTATTAACAGTTAACCAACCTCATTGGTAAGTAAGATTATTTATTATATTTATTTTTATATTGCGGTAATATTTTATTCTAAGTATAGAAGCAATAGTTAAGCTAGTTAACGTCATGCCCTCACCTGTAGCAGTCCGTGCGACCAGCCGAATGCGTTCATCGTTCTCTCAAGTGTCACGTGGACAAGCACTTTATGAATGACGTAATGCAACACGTTGTGCACACTTTCTAGAAACGTCATCTTGTCGCTGAAGTGCGTCGTACGATACATGCCGTGTGTCGGAGTGTAGGAAAGCACGAGCGGTGAGCCACCTTCTCCATAGAGTATTGTGTTCGTTGGGAAGGAATGCACAATAGCAAATGGCTTTCCAACGTAGTTTGCCAACAGCCGGCCGCACGCGTCCACGTGATCGATGATGACGTAATCAAAGCCGCCATCTTTGATTTTCCCGAGCAGACCGGGTTCCATAACTATCTGGTCGCAGAAACGCTTCTCGTTGTACGCGCTAATCGCCGTAAACATTGATAACCACTTGCCAAATTTCAGCAGATACCAGCGTCTCATTGCGTTCGTCTTAGTAGAGAGCGATGCGTTAAATGTCTGCTGACTCGCCTCGCAAGTAAGTGACGTCATGGCCGTCCCGCGCGAGGACCCGCACCACCTTCTCCATGATGAAGTTGTGACTCGATCGGGCGGGACCGGCCCATGTCTTGACAAGTATCTTGCCTCCGTCGACGACAGAAACAAACACGCACATCACAACGACGGCTGTTGCTTTTGTAGCAGATTCGCTTTTAGAATCGTGCATCGATGTGCAGTTTATTTTACGAGAGATGGCGCTAGCCGCGAGGACGATTCCAGGTAGGCGATCAAAGAGAAAGCAGAAAACCGTTACATTGGAGCCGTAGACCAGGATCGCGGCGTAGGCAGGGCGAGCAATGGAAGGAGAGGCAGGTGAAGNGAAAGAGAAAAGAGAGAGAAGTCTGGTGCGAGCAAGGAGGAAGGGAGAAGGATGGGGAGAAACTGGTGGGAGAAGGAGGAGGGGAAAAAGTGGAGAAGTCTGGTGGGAAGAAAGGAAAGAGAAGCTGGCTGGAGGAGGAGGGGGAGAAAGCTTGGTGGAGAAGGAGGAACTTCGGAACCAAGTCTTCTTCCCCTTCTCCTTTCTCACCAGCTTCTCCCTTCTCCCCTCCTTCCTCCCAGCTCCCTTCTCCCGCTGCATTTCTCCCCCTTTCGCTCGCCTACTCCACCAGCTTTTCTCCCCCTTCCTCCTTCTCCAGCTAGCTTCTCCTTTCTCCCTCCTCCTCCTTTCCACCAGCTTCCTTTCTCCCCTCCTTCTCCCCTTCCCTCCTTCTCCACTAACTTCTCCCCTCCTTCCCTTCTCAGCCAGCTTCTCCCTCTCCTCCACCACCTGTCTCCCTTCTCCCCCTCCTCCTTTCTCCACCAGCTTCTCCCCTCTTTCCTTCTCCACCACCTTCTCCCTTCTCCCCTCCTCCTTTTCTCCACCACCTTCTTCCTTCTCCCTCCCTTCCTCTACCACCTTCTCCTTCTCCCCTTTCCTCTCTTCTCCACTTAGCTTTCTCTCTTCCTCCTTCTTCCACCACATTCTCCCTTCTCCCTTCTCTTTTCTCCACCAGCTTTCTCCCCCACCTGTCCTTTTCTCCACCAGCTTCTTCCCCTTCTCCCCTTCCTCATTGTCTCCTACCCAGATTTCTCCCCCTCCTCCTTTCCACCCAGCTTCTCCCCTCTTCCTTCTCCACCACTTTCTCCCTTCTCCCCTTCCTCAATTTCTCTACCAGCTTCTATCCCCTCTCCTCCTTTTCCACCAGTCTTCTTCCCTCCTCCTTCTCACCGCTTCTCCCCTTTCCTTCTCACCACCTTCTCCCTTCTCCCCTTCCTCCTTTCTCCACCAGCTTCTCCCCTTCCTCCACAACCTTTCTCCCTTCTCCCCCTCCTCCTCCACCAGCTCCCTCCTCCCCCTCATTATCCCTTCTCCCTTCTCCCCCTCCTCCTCCACCCAGCTCCCTTCTCCCCTCTCCTTTTCTCCTTCTTCCTTGCTCCACCAGCCTCCTCCTTTTTCCACCTACGCTTCTCGCCCCTTCCTCCACCACCTCCCTTCTTTCCCCCTCCATCCCTTCTCCACCAGCTTCTACCCTCCTTCCTTCTGGCTATCACCTTCTTCTTTCTCCCCCCTCCTCTTCTCCACCAGTCTCCCCTCCTCCTTCTCACAGCTTCTTCCCTTTCTTCCCCTCCTCCTCCACCAGCTCCCTTTTCCCTCCTTCTTCCCCTTCCTCCTTACTCACCAGCTTCTCCGCCCTACTCCTTCTTCCACCAGCTTCTCCCCCTCCCCACACCTTCTCCCTTCTTCCCCCCTTCCTCATTCGCACCAGGCTTCTCCCCCTCCTCCTCGTTCTCCGCACCTTCTCCCTTCTGCCCCTCCTCCTTTCTCCCCTTCCTCTTTCTCCACCTCTTCTACCATTCTTCCCCTCCTCTTCTCTACACCTTCTCCCTTCTCCTTCCTCCTTCATCCACAGCCTCCTGCATTTTGTGGTCTGGATCGGTTTATGGGTTAACATAGTGCATGTGTGGGGCCATATGAGTGGCCAGCGATAGGCCACTGTGAAATGAAATTTGAAATGAAACCTCAAAATTCGAAATGTTTTTTCACAGTGGGCTATCGCTGCCATAGGACTTGGTACCCGGTCCCACTCTCAGCTTAGTTTAACTCGATGGGGTATTGAGGTCTGGGGAGTGTCAGTACCAGTCTATGCGCGATAGGCCACTGTTGAAAACATTTTCCATTCTTGTTTCATATTCATTTTCATTTTTTCATTTCATTTTCATTTTTTTTCATTTTTTATTTTGCATTTCATCTTTATTTCATTTTCATTTCATTTTTTAATTTTTTTCCATTTTTCATTTCAATTTCATTTTTATTTCCTTATGGCAGTCCTATGGCCACCATAGTTCAAAGCACTTTATCAATGAGATAAGGCAAACACGTTGCTGCACACGTTCTAGAAGAAAAAAAAAAAAAAAAAAAAAAAACCCCCGGGTTTCATCTTGTCGCTGAAGTGCTCGTGTACGATTAACATTTTGCCGTGTGTCGGAGTGTAGTGAAGAGCACGAGCGGGGAGGCCACCTTCTCCATAGAGTTACTGTGGTTCGTTGGGAAGGGAATTTGCACATAGCAAATGGCTTTCAACGTAGTTTGGCAACAAGCCGGCCGCACGCTCACGTGAATCGGATGATGACGTAAATCAAAGCCGCCATCTTTGATTTTCCCGCAGCAGGACCGCGGTTCCATAACTATTTTTTGGTCGCAGAAAGCGCTTCTCGTTGTACGCCGCTAAATCGCCGTTAAACATTGAGAAACCACTTGCCAAACTTCAGCAGATACCAGCGTCTCATTGCGTTCGTCTTAGTAGAGAGCGATGCGTTAAATGTTAGGATACTGTAGGTGCTCGACGCATCGTCTGCTGACTTCGGGGCCTCGCAAGTAAGTTGACGTCATGGCCGTTCCCCGCGACGAGCGTAGGAACCCGCCACCACCTTCTCCATGATGAAGTGCAGACTCGATCATGCGGGACCGGCCCATGTTCTTGACAAGTATCTTGCCTCCGTCGACGACAGAAACAAACACGCACATCACAACGACGGCTGTTGCTTTGCTTGGGAGACGCATTGCCAGCTTTTTGCACGTCCTCCGTAATATCTGACGGCGTGTGCGCAAATAGGTTCAAACGTACATGCTAAATAACACGTTGAATTGCGTAGGAGCCTATTTACCTGCCTAATAGCGCGACGATGTTCAAGAAAATGCGCGAACGTGTCCTTAGACTACGGAAGAAGAGCAAAGGGCGCATGTGTCTCATGAAGTGCGGTCAAGCAGACTGCTACCGACACTTGCCCTCGGGGTTAAAAGGGCACCGCTTCGTGTCACGGGAGATGATGACACTTTGTGTCAGGGACGGATTCTCGGATTTTGAACATAGAGGTGGCCGTTACAAGCGGGTCTGTCGAAAAGATTTGTAGAAGAAAAAATTAAGAGTACGCATTGCGGCGTTTGATGCACGTATGCTCATAAGAAATATTTTGTTTGACGAAAACGTTTCTTTCCCTTAAAGATTTTAGAGAAAGTCATTAAAAATACCAATACGATTTACAGTACATGAATAGTTTTATTGTTAGTAGGCATATTATTTGCATTGTGGAATAGGCAGAATATCAAGTGTGAACAGCATGAAATATCACTCGTCCTACACTTACGCAAACATGCATTTCAAAAACAATGTAGCCTACTTGGCGACGAGACATGTTTATTGGTGCATGGTATTAGCGTCCATGCAATCAACCCAGCTATTAGGTGTCTACGCGGTATGAGTCGATTCAGTCTATTCTCAACGTCATAATATGCCACCTGTAGTAAAATACGTGATTCATGTGTGATTTTATTTGTGTAATATATATATATCGGTTTTGTTAGAACATTTATTTCCTTCTTAGAACGCGCACGATGCTACTTCCAGACTTCACACTTTGCGAAAAAAAAATTCAGATACTCATGTTTTTAGAAATAGCTTTTGGTCCGCTGCCCAACTCCCGTCAAGAATTTTAGCCCTTAATGTACCTAGTGATAAAATAATATAGTAAGAGTAAACAGATTAATCACTTTTACGAACGCCTCTCTATGCTATATAATGTGTTAGCCACGAGCTTCCGGTTTTGCTCATTTGCGCGACGTATGTAACATTAAAATCAGTTCAGATATTAGTGAAATTAGTAGAAATAACTTCTTTCCCGTCACATCCTGCCCAGGAAAAAGCAATTAAAGTGCTGTTTTGTTTATTGTCGTTATACTTTTTATATCTCCATATAGGATTTGTAAAGGTATATACCTAATTGCACAGCAATGTAACTACGCGCTTATAATGTTTCTGATATCACGTCTCCGGCATCGACGAATGTCACGAGTGCTTATAGATATGCTTGCAATGAGAACTACGTAAGTTAGCCACGCAAAGAATGCAGCAATTACGAGCAGACAAGCAATAACATCTATGAGCCAATATTGTAGGAAGTTCAGTTCAGTGTAGGCAGGGGCTTGCTGGTCGGCATAGAGCATCGTGTAATTCACCCAGAATGACACGGTCTCATCAGGAGACATCGGCAGGCTGTGATGATACAGTTTCGAAAGCTGACGCACGCGTGCTGCATATCTGCGGAATTATTGAGGCTAGATGTAAACAACGATATAATTGCAAAGATACGTAAGATATGATACGACATCAAACTATTATTAAACTATTTATGATTGAATAAAAGAATTAGGACGACGGTTAACTTAATTAGTATTTGCGAGTATACTATTAGCTTTTATCGGTCTTGTAGTATAAAAGTAGTGTCGTTGGCCGATCTCTGTGCAATTCTTAGCAAGATAAAATACACGCTCGACAAACATATCTGTCTGAGATACCGTAATTATCGTACGCAATAGACTTACGCGTTATTCTCGACAACACGCCTAAGGGCGGATTGTAGGCTTGCTGTTGTTATAGTATGGAAGTCAATCATCTCGCCGATTCCTCTCTCTTGAGCCATGTGCGCGTTTCGAAACTGGTCGGCAAAGATCGGCATGACAACGACAGGGGTGGCGTGGCAAATCGCCTGCCATAATCCATTAATTCCACCGTGTGTGATAAAAGAAGCTACCTTGCTATGACCTGTGAAAAAATGCGTGATTTTTTCAATTGTTTTGTATACTATAAAGAGCACGTAAAATCTTGGCTCGTGTGCTATTGATAATACTAGTGACATACCTGCGTCTAAATTTTGTTTCGTTTATATTATTTCGTTAGTTCACTCCATTACCTAGTAGATCATTCTGCGGTGCCCATTCCAATGTGACAACGTTGGTTGGAAGTCCGGTCATGTTGAAGTTAGCGATAATAAATAGGTACGGTAGATTAGAGACAGCACCTAGAAGCGCAGTCTTAAAACGCTGGTTCTGAAAAACGGGGGGGGGGGGTGGAATAGAACAGCGCTATGCATATTACAACTTTTAAAATCTATTTGCGTTCAAGATTGAATTGCCGAAATAATGGCACCGTTAATGTCATCACCTCGCGTAGATAAAGCTCCCATTCATAGAGCATATTGGAGAAAGTCAAAAGTTAAAATTCCTGCGCGGTAATTACGCTATTTGCCTCAATGTGCCTGGCTGGCGATGGTGTGATAACTAAAGACACCCATTACGCATGCGCGGCCTTACCTCGTTCAAACCGCCCGGTCCGTGCAGGAGAGTACCGAATGACATGTATATCACTTTTCTATTAGTCCTCGCTAGCAAATCATCCAGTTTCTGCGAGAAAGGCAAATAAATAATGATCTTTACATCAGACTCAGTAGAATGATCCACATTATGCAGGCTTCAGGATTTTTGATTCTGAAGTCGACATTTCAACAGCAACATACCAATTAATCAAATATACCTCGTTGACGACACGCGCTGGGCGCTTGTGTAGGCTAGGGGCAGGAGATCTTACGCCGTAAGTCAGTGGGCTAATTTGATGCAATAACTTAGATATTTAATTGTGAGACGATATGCTCTTTCACTGTTTGTGAAAACTAGTGTATCTCACAAACAGCGGTGACGCCTAATCATCTCATATTTCATGGATGGGCAAACTGCGCTCCACAGAAATTGCCAGACATTACGTAGGAAACACAGCGTATGAAGCCAGTGTATCATAGGTGAGATAAGGTTCTAATATTCCACTTGACTATAGTTTATGCAAGCAAAATCTGCTATTCTGAGATCGAGTAGTCAACATCAACGTATCAGCCAATCAGATAGCTTGCTGACGATATTGTTGAATGCCTGTTAATTGTGTTGTGGCGACAAATCTACACCAGTGCCATTCCCCATTTTAAAGCAAGAATTAAAATATATCAAGAGTGAAATGTACGAAAAATTATCTACCATTATTTGTGTATCTGAGAGATATTACATCACACACTCGTTCCACTGAATTTTCTATCACTTGTGTAAAATAACCGTAGTCTGAAGACGAACAGTGATTCATGAAACCGCATTGTCTCGTGGAAGAGTGGTGGTCTTATTTGCATTCGGTAACCTACTCTCGAAATACATGCAGAAAGGTTTAAGATTCTGGATACACACTCGCTACTATTGTACCTGAGGCAGCGCTTTTACCGGCTGGCAGAGCTGACCACCAATATGCTGGACGTTGGGCATCGTAGGGCGTGGATGGTCAAACGCAGGGTTGCTAGAGCAAAGCACTAGCGCTGCCCTGTCTGTAATTCCTTCGTATCTCTCGTGCGACTAAAATGGTATAGATAACATTATTTACATGTATAAGCTGACACCGATTTGCTTTTCAGAAATGAATCATTTTAACGCAATTGACGCTGTAAGAGATTCCGTATGACTAGGTTAATTATACAAGTTTATCAGATTTTCGTTCAAAGTAGTTAATTCATATTTTTCGTGAATTTGTACAATTGGTGGGACGATCTTGTGATTAAATTAGAAGATTCGTCGCTAATGACAACTCTAAGGCTTATAATACAATATCATCTGGTTAACGTTATACTCTTGCCTGCAGCAAACCGTGCGACCAGCCGAATGCGTTCATCGATCTCTCAAGTGTGACGTGGACAAGCACTTTATCAATGACGTAATGCAACACGTTGTGCACACGTTCTAGAAACGTCATCTTGTCGCTGAAGTGCGCCGTACGATACACGCCGTGTGTCGGAGTGTAGGAGAGCACGAGTGGGGAGCCACCTTCTCCGTAGATTATCGTGTTCGATGGTAAGTTATGAACAATAGCGAATGGCTTGTTAACGTAGTTCGCCAGCAGGTGACCGACCGCGTCTGACTGATCAATGATGACGTAGTCGAATCCGCCATCTTTGATCTTGTGGAGAAGATCGGGTTCGGCCACTATGCGCTCACCAACGCGTCTCTCTGTTTTTGCATTTATCAGCATGAACAGTACAAACATATTGCCATATTCTACTAAATAGTTTCGCATCGCCTTCTTGTTTTCCTCTTCATGTAGGCCAGTCGTGTTGAACGTCAGCAGGTCGTAGCTGTCCGTCGATAGGAAGCCGCCGTTACGCGCCACCTCTCGCTCCTTAGACCCGAGCAAGAACGTGACGTCATGTCCATCGCGCGCGAGGATTTTAGCTATTTTGTCCATGATGATATGGTGACTGGACGGAGTTGTGCCAGCCCACGGCTTGATGAGTATCTTGCCTCCGTCGACGACAAAAACAAGCACGCACATCGCGATGACGGTGGCGGCTTTGCTTTGGAGACGCATCGCCAGCTCTTTGCGCTTTGTCTGACGGCGTGTGTGCGAATAATAAACAAGTGCCAGCTTAGAATAATGAGGAAGTTGAGCTTGACGTGTGAATGATCGTAAATAACGTGGCTTAACGATCGTGCTATACCCTTCAGGCGTCGCCAGGTTGTGATGTCACCTAATTGTGTTCAACCTCCAGACAATTCACTTCCACTAATGAACGAACACTCCAACAGCGTTTCACACCGCAAACGCCATATATATGCGCTGTATAATATGTTCGTGCAGCAATAAACCATCACACAGCCAAGACTGGTCGGCTTTTCTATCAAACGTGCTAAAGCATATATTTATCGAAACGTTCATTGCCTGCATTGCATACAATGTGGCTTAATTAGAATACTGCGAATTTCATCAAATGTGTGTTTATCTGTGGATTAAATCTCAACAACGTAGGTAGCGAATTATTATCATTATATTATATATTAATCACTATATCATTATCACTTTTTGGAACAAATTTTGACGATGTATACGAGTGATTCTACGTGCGATTGCTGCATAATTACGCTAGTTTGGCACACAAACAATGCAGCAACCACAAGCAGACAGGCAATAACATCTATGAGCCAATACTGTAAGAAATTCAGTTTAGTGCAATGCTATAGGACCGAATAAGACAGCAAATTTATAGAAACGGTTTCAAAAAAATTTAACACGCCATGCTTGCAGAATAAATTAAATTCCTCTACTATATTATATTGTGTTAATTAAGACAGCACTGTAAATCCCAAATTAGGTAAAGCGATTCGGGCTTTTGTATTCACATAATGTGGGCAAATTTAGCAGAGCGACTCTCGCAAAATGTTGTTGCTCACAACACGAATGCTCGTACAATGCTAACACATATACACATATCATTCACGCATCATGTCTTCTTATACCGAGTTTATTGTAAATAAAGAAACATTTACACTTTCAATATTGCTTTGTATTGAATAAGTAAAACTGATGGGTAAATTCAATTTTATCTCTGTTAACTGTCACTTGGTATCTCCCTAAAATATCTTTAACTAGAGCACTCGGAGAGCACAGACCTCCGCCAAGGCAGCTGAATTCTCTCAATGTAGAATTTTTATTAATTAATTAATTAATTAAGTGGAAAAATTTATTAATTAATTAATTAAATAATTAATTGGATCCGGATTAGTGCGAGCGTGCAGGTGGGGGAGGACTGTGGTTGCCCCTTAGCCTGTGTTTGCGTGTTTGTAAGTCTACAGCCAGCGCACCTAGCGGAAGTGAACTGAAACGTGCATGTTCACAAACAAACCAACCAACACTCAAACATTCGCCGGTGAAAACATAACCTCCGCCACGCCCCTGGCGGAGGTAAATATAAAACAGGGTCCTTTCATGTATAGATGGTAACATATAATAAGTAAAACTGATGTGTTATTCAATTTTACCTCTGTTAACTGTCACTTGGTATTTCCCTAAAATATCTTTAAATATAGAACAGGGTCCTTTCATGTATAGATGGTAACAAATAAGGGCGGTTCTCGCGATAGCTATGCAAGTTAGCCACGCAGAGATCGCAAGAACCACAAGCAGACATGCAGTTATATCGATGAGCCAATATTGTAAGAAGTTCAGTTCAGTGAAGGCAGGAGCTTGCTGGTCGGTATAGAGCATCGTGTAATTCACCCAGAATGACACGGTCTCATCAGAAGACATCGGCAGGCTGTGATGGTAGAGTTTCGAAAGCTGACGCATGCGGGCTGCATACCTGTAGAATTGTTGATGTTGTCTGGTATAAGCAACAATATTCTTCAAATTATCATATCAAACTACTAGGTAATATAAAGGGCTGAATTCTAAAATTTTAATAAGGTTTGATGAAATAAACTATAAAACTATAACTAATATGAATAAAGACGATTATACTCTTCTAGGCAGTGTCGTTTTTGTAGCAAGCAGTGCCTTTAACTGATGTCCGTGCAATTCTTAGCAAGATAAAATACACGCTCGGCAAACATATCTGTCTGCGTGGGATACCGTAATTATCGTACACAACAGACTTACGCGTTATTCTCGACAACACGCCTAAGGGCGGATTGTAGGCTTTCTGTTGTTATAGTATGGAAGTCAATCATCTCGCCGATTCCTCTCTCTTGAACCATGTGCGCGTTTCGAAACTGGTCGGCAAAGATCGGCATGACGACGACAGGGGTGGCGTGGCAAATCGCCTGCCATAGTCCATTAAGCCCACCATGTGTGAAAAATGCATCTATCTTGCTGTGAGCTGCAAAGAAAATCATAATCATGTATATACATTTCATGTTATTTTCCATATTCGTGTGTACTACTAATAACTGCGTGCGTTTGAATTCATTTCGTATATCCTCTTCTTTACCTAGTAGGTCATTCTGCGGTGCCCATTCTAATGTTACAACGTTGGTTGGAAGTCCGGTCATGTTGAAGTTTGCGATAATGAATAGGTACGGTAGATTAGAGACAGCTCCTAGAAGCGCAGTCTTAAAACGCTGGTTCTGAAAAATGAAAGAAACAAGCGCAGCGCCATACTAGCTCTACAAACGTAGCGCATTGCGCCACAGTATGGCCATAGCAGTATATGATTGTAATGGATGCAATTTATGTAGCCTACCCGACAACACTGCAGCCAGTGGTGCAAGAACAAAGTCACTATCCGGTAAAATAGAAGTGCCCGCAACTACCGGCAACTGTTAGAAAAACTCGCGCGTACGTTTTCGTAATATTCACAACAGAACGTCACATTAATGTGAGTGAGTTAAGCAATGAGAGAGGTATGCTGTGATCGTCCTCACTAAAAAAATAATCGACGATGAACCTATAGTTTGTCTCGGAGGCGCAGCAGGGACCCGTTGTCAGAAACAAAATTAGTCTTAACATTATCGACTCGTAAACGGTTGACAGAAATATCATAAAGTTACGAGGACGAAAAATCCTCGCACATTTCTTCGCATTAGCATTAACTTTAGCATTAACTTTGCTATGTTTCTGTTAACGGCCCCCAGGCTGTTAATGTGTCTAATCATACACAGCGCATGCGCGGCCTTACCTCGTCAATACCGCCCGGTCCGTGGATGAGAGTACCGAATGACATGTATATGACTTTTTTGGCGCTCTTCGCTAGTAAGTGATCCAGTTTCTGTGAGAACGATAAACTTATTACTACAATGCTCATACATCAATTACCGTAGAAGTATTCAGATCCTGTCGGTACAGAAACTAATTCTCAGAATTTAATCTAGCGAAATGACGTGATCTGAACCTTTACCATGCTTACATGTAGAGAAGTTGTGATTAATATAAACTCATGGCACTATTTTACCTGAGGCAGCGCTTTTGCCGGCTGGCAGAGATGACCACCGATATGCTGGACGTTGGGCATCGTGGGGCGTGGATGGTCGAACGCAGGGTTGCTAGAGGACAGCACTAGCGCTGCCCTGCTTATAATGCTTTCGTATCTCTCGTGCGCCTATACAGGAGTATAAATGAATAATCGGGAATTTGCGCGACTTGAGAATCTCCTTTCATTGTCAAAAAAATGCGATTCTGTAGATAGACTAATGAAACGCGAACTTTTACATCTGCACAACTTACTATTACATACTTATTATAATTGTAGTGAACTCATAAGTGTTAATAGTTAACCAACCTCATTGGTAAGTAAGATTATTTATTATATTTATTTTTATATTGCGGTAATAGTTTATTCTAAGGATAGAAGCAATAGTTAAGCTAGTTAACGTCATGCCCTCACCTGTAGCAGTCCATGCGACCAGCCGAATGCGTTCATCGTTCTCTCAAGTGTGACGTGGACAAACATCTTTTCAATGACGTAATGCAACACGTTGTGCACACGTTCTAGAAACGTCATCTTGTCGCTGAAGTACGTCGCACGATACACGCCGTGTGTCGGAGTGTAGGAGAGCACGAGCGGGGAGCCACCCTCTCCATAGATTATTGTGTTCGATGGGAAGGAATGTAAAATAGCGAATGGCTTTCCAACGTAGTTCGCCAACAGCCGGCCGCACGCGTCCACGTGATCGATGATGACGTAATCGAAGCCGCCATCTTTGATTTTCCCGAGCAGACCGGGCTCCGCAGTTATCAAGTCGCAGAAGCGCTTCTCGCTATAACTGTTGACCAAAGTGAACAGCGAGAACCATTCGCCGAACTTTAGCAGATAGTCACGCATAAGCTTCTCGTCATCCTCCGTGACGGATCCCGTCGTGTTGAACGTCAGCAGATCGTCGCTGTGCGTCGACAGGAAGCCGTCGCCCAGCGCCACATCTCTCTCCACAGAGCCGAGCAATAACTTGACGTCGTGCCCGTCCAGCGCGAGAATGCGCGCTATTTTATCCATCAAGAAAAGGTGACTGGAACGAGTGCCGGCGCCCCACGGCTTGACGAGTATCTTGCCTCCGTCGACGACAGAAACAAGCACGCACATCGCGATGACGGCGGCGGCTTTGCTTTGAAAACGCATCGCCAGCTCTTTTCACAGTTTCCTTAATACGAAACGGTGTTTGCGCGAGTAGAGTCAAAGGTGCAGGCCAAATATCCCGTTGATGTCGCGTAACCTGTTAAATAACGAAATGTAAATATAATAAAATGATCTAGATATTAGTTGCAGTTCAGGCACCCTTGCAATGACGATGACCTGGGAAATGCGCGCACCTGTGTTCTAGAACGCGGAAGAAAAGATACATAGGTGTGCATGGCAGCGCGATTGTGCGACACTTCTACCTACAGGTGCCCTCGGGCTTAAACGACACCGATTCGTGTCATCGGACATTGTGACACTTCGTGTCGGTGGCGGATCTAGGATTTTGAACATTGGGGTGGCCGTTGCGAGCGGGGTTGAGAAGGAAAGATTTTTAGCGAGAAACTAGAATACGATGGCGACTTTTGAGGCACGTATACCTGATAACAACAAATCTGTTCGGAAGAGAAGAAAATATAAAAACGTAACGTTAGAGGAAGTGATTAAACAAAGCTACACGATTTACAGTATATCGGTAATTTTATTATTAGAATCTGTTGCATAGCGGAATAAGCGCATTTTCAGGTATTAATAAACAGCATGAAATTTTACTCGTCGCCACACCTACGCAAACATGACTTTCAATTAGCAATTTACCATTCAGCAATTTTAAGTAATTTAGCCTACTTGGCGACGAGACGTGTTAATTTCTGGTGAACGCTTCTACGCAATCAATTCATCTACCATGTGTCTACGCGGTATAAGCCGATATGGCTTACTCGCAATCGTTATATATATCTGCCATTATGGTAGAATACGTATACGTGATTCATGCGTGATTTGTGCGGGATTCATGCGCCTTATCTCTGTTGCAGGTTCTCTGTGTTGCGCATGGTAGACATTGCACATGTATAAGAGCGCGTAAAATTTCATCCTAACGATTACTGTAAAATGCGTATCATGTAGCTGGCAACAATTTTGTGTGAAGTTTGATGTGATTTAGCATAAATAAAGCGTTCTCACTGAAACAAATGTTCTTGTGCCGTGCCTTGCCAGACATGCAGCTATCTGTGGACGCCATCTATTGGCGAATACCGCCTATAGGGAGATAGCTAATGCCCGGCGGCGAAATTTTTTTTCCCACGAGAGTTCCGGACCCACCACAGATAGTGTTTTGTAATATATGGTGCGTATATAAGACAGACCTGGTTGAATTATAGTTAGTGTTAGGGTTAGGGTTAGGGTTCGGGTTAGGTTTAGGGTTAGGTTAAAGTTGTATAAACTTTTACATTGTTGCTTTGAGGAAGTCGAGTGAATGGAGTGCGCTGATTGGCTGGGGTCCGGAACTCTCGTGGGAAAAAAAATTCCGCTGCCCGGCGCACACGTGAGTGAGTTATTTTACTGAAGTAAAATTACGCATGAGTCATTTTACTCACGTGTGCGGCGGATTTTTGTTGAGTAATTTGACTCATGCGTCAATTTACAATTTCTCGTTAGCAAGCGAGGAAATAAAATGGACGCGTGTCGTTGCTGCAGAAAGGTGAATTGCTTAAATTCTCGGAATATTGCCAAGGGTCGCCGTTGTAAACACAGCATATATAAGTGATATGACATCGTACGTAAAAATATGCCGTACATTTTGAAGGGGCTCTCATGCAAATGTTATGACCTATTAAACTTATGATGTTAACTTATTGTTTCACATTTGTTCATATATTGTATATTTCAGCGGCATAACTTCTTCCATTATTGTGGGGGGAAACGCGTATAACGGAGAGGAGACTTTTGATACTGCATATAGAGTTTATGTCAGAATCTAGGAATAAATTCGAACATCTTATGCACGGTTAACCAACAAACAAGCGAATTCGTATATACTGCTGACGCTAGGATACATAAATTGTAAGTTATTTATCTAAACATACAAATATTGGTATTTTATTAAAAAGGTGAAATATATCTGTTTTATTGTTTGAACGTTTATGGAAGAACAAAAACATTTGACGAAACTGCTATTCTTTTTTGTATGGATTTAATACTCGGTGGAGGCACCGCGTATATTTATGAAGTAATTAACATGCTAAAATTAAGCACCAACTCTCAGGCATCTTTCAAACAATTAAACTGACAAGTAAATGTTTTCAAATATACAATTTAACGAGGTTTACGGGAATCTTTTCGCAGGGCGGCGCCACCATCCAATCGATTAACACAATTTAGAGCGAAAGTAGTCTTACTTCAGGCACGTACACGCGCATACATACACCCAAAAGGACGCGCGCACGTATACACACAGATCAATGAATATTATTTATTTGTTCATTCATTCGTTTATTTATTTGTTTTATTAGCATTCTAAATAAAATAACGCGAACAAAGGGTCGCGAAACAATTGTCACACAGCATTTTGTCATGTCTATACTAATTAAATGTCATAATTATGGCCCCGAGATAGCTTTTATTTATCTATTATGAGTCTATTCGATATTGAAAATGGCACATTTAAAATTATATTATCCAGCTAAATGTAGCTCTCGTTTCCTTATTACTATAATTTTTGTATAAACAAAGAGGCCTATCAAATCAACCGATATTCTCTGACAAATAAATTCGTCCACCTTATTTTACATGCATCATCAACAATCACGGTCTTCTATATTAAATTAATTGTTGAAAATTCGACATGTTAATCAAACATATTATTTAAACTGTTGCTATTAAAAGTCAGATGTTTCTATAATTATCATTAAAATAGCTTTCTGACTGTTACATGGTATAGCCAACCTCTATTGAAGTCTAATATCGTATTATATTCAGTCAAGTGGTGGGCGTGGTATGAACGGATGTTCGAGGAGCCGAGTCCACTAACCGTGATGATTCTACATCTTCTCATTCCATCTGTGCAACGTCATTTCCTACCACCGTGGGGACGTCACGTGGTCAGACGATTAACACTGTTTCGTTAACCAAAACAAGTCCGATAAGGGAAGAGATGATGCCACCCTGGATGTTTGTGGCACGCAGCGGCACCTCGTCTCTCTTGAAAATAATAGCTAAACTACCTTAAGCTAAAACTGACCGCGCGGAATGCATTTTAGTCGCGATACGTGCTACCGCCACAGAGAGGATCACGTGGATATAGCTTACAGCAAACGGCTGTTCTGTCGGCTCACCAAAGCTAACCAAACACGACGAGCAGAAGTGATACAACAGACGTGATTCTACCCGACCCGCCAGGCGTGACAAATATTCTTGGGCGCATTGAACGGCACGTTTCTTATTTTTCCCGAACAACGATAGCAACCAAACTGGCAAATTTACGCCCGACTTGACAAAAGCCAAACGGATCCCATTCCCATGCTAGTTTCTTCATGGATAGCGACCGACGGCAAGTAAACAACGCCTCTAAGAATGTGCGTGATTCGTTACTTATATACTATTGGACTATACGTCTCAGTGAAAAATTCCTGCGTTCTGTTTATCTGCCTTCTTGGTTATCAATGTGCCTGGCTGCTCGCTTGTCTAGCAAAGTTTTAACATACTGAAGTGAAGATGTTAAACTAAATCAATATTAAATAAATGAAACGTTAATAAGAATGTCAAATTTTCGTACTACATTATATACATAATTTATTTATTGAAATAACAACCATCTGCTATATATTACATAAAATACAGATTATCATCGTAAAAGCGTACATTCGCGAAAAATGTGTCTGCACCGAATGACATCAGCGGTGCGATAGCATGCAATGTAGCATGAAACAAATAATTGAGTTGTTTGCATTTAGCGGACCAGTTTAGATTTCTTTGAGCTGCACGCACGCAACCCAGTTGTTCTTTTTAAATCTCGGATGCTTATGTTTTCTAGTGATAGTACAAACCGATTTTCATTCTCATCAGACAATCTGCGAACGTGACCGCATAGCTGCCAAGGTTTCGATTCACATAATATATCATTAAATATTATTTTTTATAACCATTTTGTATTCTAGTAGAAATAATCGATTAGGATATTAACGATACTGCATCGAATCTAAACGTGTCCCACTTGTGAAACATAACAAAACACGCACGAACCTGACTGAATATTATAGCATTCATTCAAGCGATTATATGACACAGAGAAATCCTCCTGCTCACGTGACCCCTATAGGATTACGTAAATTACACGACGCGTCAAAATCACGGTTGTTGTTGTTTTTTACAAAAAAAGGCATTCTTAATAATAATAGCATTTCTGGACGATTAAAGAGAACTACAATGTATAAATATACCGGCGAATCATACGCCGCCGTTGACCTTATAAAATCAAATGTCATTATCCAACTGGTACCACTAATAGTATATTGTCTCCATGATACTTGTGGTGGCAGCACTATTCTCTTCGATTACTAAAAGCTAATGATATCATAACGAGGAACACCCAGACAAGTCTGTAGTAAATATCGCGTGATACGCCTCCAAATTGCCAGACACAGCTATGAAATAAGGAGGAACGCAATCAGATGAACGCTGTAGTTTTTATACGCTGGTATAGGGTGCCTGCTGGCTCAGCGGCATCGGGAGAACAGGGAAAAATCCCGAAAACGTTTTAGTCGGTTGTAGAAGAAGCGAGAGACGGTACAAGCGTGTGGCGAAATGGCAAGGTTCTTAGATGGTATAACCCCGGCGGTCCCTGCAATTTACAAGGGCCTGAACGTACCACGGCAAGTCACAGGTGAACCACTAATCAAATCGGAGATTTCGTATAGCCCTTGTGTAACAACATTAAAATATTTAACTCCAATTTGCATTTCTGTATTATATATATAATAAATAACCATGTCTGTATCGCTCTAGGTGCCGTGTGAACGTCGGATCACATAATACAACTATAGTAGCATACACAAGTTTACAATTTATATAATTATTAATAATATAATTGATTATAACTACGAAAAAATGTCATGTGGAAATTGGCAATAATAATTATGTGATTTATCAGCTATTGTTTCGTTTAATTAGATTCTTACGATATATATTTGTCATGAAATTGATTAACGTTGAAGTGGTTACTTACAAACTATATAAATGTTGCAACGCTTCCCGTTATACTGTGAGTATATAATGTTAGGCTTAATATTATACACAAGACATAACAATATCAGATGTATAGAATTACTACACAAGTTAAAGATGTGGGACATGGTAAAGCTGCAATAATAAATATCTTGTTTAGTGGGTGTCACTAACTTAGCACTATAGACACGCCCATGTTACAAGAATTAAATAAATCTATAGAATTATCAATGTAAGAGATTATAGTTGTATCGAGAGTGAATAAAAACAACGAATATTATATATTTGTTTTTGTATGATTGGCTGGTATTCCTGGTTGTATGATTCTACATATTTTCTGTATGTACATATAACTTTCGTGGCATATCTACTTTGAACTTGTCTCTTTAACTGTTTGCAATTCCACATAAATCTTATTGTAATAGAAGCGCTATATATAGCAGGCATAATTGTCCGACGTTATTACAAGCACACGTGTGCATTTTCCTGCCTTTTTAAATATGGCGTTAATATTTCATTTCATCTGGGGAATAAATTTAGATAGTACTCATCAATTTAAATAAGTGCAATATGACTGTCCTTTAAGTCTTCAATTGTTATATGGCTTACATTAAATGCTACATGTCGTATTCGTGGAAAAAAAACCTCGTCGATTCGCCAGTTCGTGATTTCTAATAAGCATATAAAGTGCGTTAAACGTTTAAGTGTTGAATATTTTGAAAATCGTACACAACAAGAACAAGACAACAAATCAGCTTCGTATTCTGGCCTGACTCGCGATGACACTCGCCTTTGTTAATTTGCATGCGTCTTCCGCGTGCACGTCAGAGCATCGCCTACTATGCCAGCACAGTCGATCGCGCGTAAAGCTACCGACTTTATGTTGGCGAATTGGCGGGTTGGACCAACATCCCAATTCGCCAACTTCGAGTTAGCGAAAATAGAACATGTTCTAATCTCCCAACTAGTTGCTATCGATCGGTTGGTCGCGCAACGTTTGCGTTTGCCGATTGTCAGTTGTATAGTTGGGAAGTTGGTCCAATTCGCCAATTCGCCAAAACAAAGTCGGTAGTGTAAACAGCTAGTGTAGTAAACCCAGTAGTGTAAGTTAAGGCCTGCCGGAGTTTACTCGCAGAAGTAGTCGTCCACCTCCTTCGTGCATTCCTTGCACTTGACGAAGCAGCACCAGTAGAACTTGCAGTGACAGCGTTCGACCACTGTTCGCCGCTTGATGGCGTGACCGCGGCCGCAGCACATCAACTCGCAGCCGTCGATGGCTTTAGAGGTCTTGTTGCAACGCCGCCCCTGCGTTCCAAGCGAACCTGTCGGCAATAATAGTTCATAATCACACGCGTGAAATGCATGCGTGCCTTGCCGTGCAGAAGGGCGTTAATCATTTTCAGGTTTAATTTACTTAGCTAAATGTTTAGCATAAGCAATAATGTAATTTTGCTAAAAAAATTCGACTTCCGAAATACTGAAAATGTACTCAATTTAAAATGAACCGAATCATAAACGAACTCGTCATAAACATCCCTTGACATCTCTTTAAAGCTACGACCCACGTGGGTTTCTTTCTGTTGCGACATGTAATTAATTGATTTTTAAACAAATTACAAAATAATGCGATATAAACTGTTTAGCTGTTAAGCAACAATTAGGCAACTGTTTAAAAAGTTTAGGCGTTAAAAATGGCAAATTACGGGGGCGTTTCGCCACTTATTAACAATGCTCAAGATAATTTACACGGATTTGCTAGTGATTCCATTATTGCGCGACATTACAATATATAATATAGCGTTTCTATATTACAATGCATAGCGTATTAAACCGTTACATATTTTATTTTTTATAAAAGGCACGCTGCTGGGTAGAGCTAGTTTCATTGTTCTGCACATGTTTGTAGTAGGGTTACGTCGCCACAATCCGGAACCGTACCCTTGGCCTAACTCATAACTTCCGTCGCATATATTGAGCGTCCATACGGAAATTAAGACGTAGAATTCCGGTAACTACGAGAGCAGCCAATCGAGTTGCTGCCTATACGACGATATATACCCTACATAACCGTCACGTCGAGGAAAAAAAGCGATGCCAGGTTTGTTTCGGGGAACAATGGCTGCGCCGACGCGCGTCGATGTGTAAATCACGTGTGAAAAGGCGCCCAGTGGCCATACTGCGGTCTGTACGAGCGTGCTGTACTTACCTATACTCGGGTTTGGCTCGCAGAAGTCAGGCGACGATTCGAGGTATACGAGGTCGTGGTCGGTGTGTGGCTTGAAGTGAGGGTTGAGAGGGGCGAGTACGCGACGACTGCCTCTCTCCCTCTCCTGCACCTATACAAACACAATAACAGCCGACCGGATGACATATATACACACACACACACACACACACACACACACACACACACACACACACACACACACACACACAACACACACACACACACACACAACACACACACACACACACACACACGCATATATATATATTTAATTATTTATTTATATATTTATCGTAGTACGCGCGTCAGCTATATGGAAGGTGGCATATACCGTCAGCTATACAAGGCGCATAAATGGAAAGAACACGTTTTGGTTCGAAGCGCGGTATAGGGCCATCGGACATGCAGCATCTTGCGCACACTCCAGAAGATATAAAATGAAAGAAAATTATAGAAGAGCACGCGCGAAAGCGAGAGAGAGAGAAGAGAGAAAGAGGAGAGAGAGAGGACCGTAGAACGAGAGCGAGACAGAGAACAAGGGATTAGAGATGAGAGAGGAGAAGAGAGAGAGAGAGAGAGAGAGAGAGAGATGAGAGAGATGACGAGAGAGAGAGAGAGAGAGAGAGAGATATCAAGAGGGCAAGAGAGAGAGAGAGAGAGAGCAGAGAGAGAGAGAGACGAGAGAGAGAAGAGGAGAGAGAGAGAAGAGAGAGACGGAGGAAGAGAGAGAGAGAGAGAGAGAGAGAGAGAGAAAGAGAAAATAGAAGGGAAAAAGAAAGAGAGATTACCAACCTCTGTGGCTCCGTCGAACTTCTCTTTGAGTAGGAAGCCCACCTCCCTGAACGTGGGCATGGCTCGCCAGCATGTCTTCAGCTCACAGGATCCGCTCACGCCGTGGCATTTACACTCCACCTCCATGTTCTCCTCCACCGTCTGCAACACGGAGAATGCACGAGCGCGTGAGTACAGACAGAGCGCCATGTAGCAGAACGCTTGCTATTCGCCATGCAGGCATCAATGCGGATAGTCTCATCTATGTCTCTCGTTAGCGCTTTTTTATTGGATCTTACGAGTCTAACGCAGACCGATCCTGGGAGTCTCTGCAACGATCTTGCCACTACCTTCATGCCGCGTAAGAAACACGCGATGAGTTTTATTTGATCGAGTTTTAACCCATCCCACCGCCAGATTAATCCATGTACCCGTATTCCTAACCCTAAACGAGTGATTCCTAGTCATATCTAGGACCAGAATGTTGGTTTCTCTGTTCCGGAGCAGCGTCTCTCTCGCCGTTATCCTGTACAACTGAATACTCTATGCTATAACGTTGAGTCAAACCTTTAAAGTGAGTCAAACCCTGAGTCAAAAATTAACATTGCCTTTTTCTCATAGACCGTTGAACGACATTGGTAAAGTTACGAGTTCCTCACACGCAGTGTATAGAGATCCGATCAATGAGAAAAATCAACAGATTAACACTAATTTTCAGACTTATTTGGTTTGTTGGTCGTCAGTCATGTTTTTGCGATCTTCGGCTATTGCAAGGCGCATGCTAGGGGTACGTGACAGCAAACGTCGCAATTCCCTGTACATTTTACCAGTGGACTTTTCCCCATAGTGACTATAGCGCCACCTCGGCTTCTTAAAGCGAGGATTTCTCATGTTTTTAACAACCGTTTTCATATTTTCTCAACTCTCTCTCTCTCTCTCTGCCTTCTCATAGGTAGTTTCTGATGCCTGGTTTTGAATACGTATATAGCAGAATAATACACCGCGTTGTAGGCAGGCGCCACCTGACGACGCTAAGCGGAATGACGACGCGTTATCGCATCCATCTAGGGTCAGTCATGCAGCAGGCCGACAAAAACATTTGTCGATAATCGAGCAAATCACGGCGTACGGCGTTCCTTACTGATGATGGGCGAACAATCGGCACCCTCTCACCAATCCGCGTGTGTTTGGAAATATTTATTTATATGTTTAATCGGATAGGCGATTAAGTGGTTTGCGATAGAGTCCCGATATAAACAGTTTATGCTAGGCGTCGAGCGTTGGCGTCTGCGCGTAGCACATCATGCCTCCAGCCCGCCGCTGCGGCAGCCGATAACACGACATTAGTTGCAAACCACACACTGCCAGACGTGCCGCACGGCCCTTGCCTCGTAAATAGTGCATGCCTATGTGTGCGCGCGTACGTGCATACGTGCACGCACGTATGTGTGCGCGCGTGCAATCACCTCGAGCCCGTGACATCACAATATGAAACGTCATCGTGGTGACATTATCCGTGGGGTACAGGGTGGCGCTGCGGACGCTCCCATCGCTATTAAGCAGCTGTTTCGATTGAGGCTACCCAACCTATCGCGACGATTTTCTCGCCAGGTGCGTCCGTATCTCGAATCGGTTAGAGTAATTATATACCTGTAACAGCGGTTGTACGCAAGGGCGTCTTACTACTACCACCCGAAATAACTACAATAGACACGTACGAAGATACAGTAAACAGTCGGTAATCACTGTATATATATAATTACTATAACGGCGGTAAATTATGCGTTTTGGCCTTTTCGAGTTTGTAGGCCACGCAGGTTATGTATGGGCATACGCTGGACAGTTGAGCGCACGCATGGTATGGTCTGTCGTGAACTGCATGCTTTGCATCATGGCTGGATTTCTTGGTAGAAAAGCTGGTTTCTATTTCATTCCATTTATAAACTGAAAAATTACTGTGTAGCTGTCGTCTAAATCATGTTTTAACTGAGGTTAATAATACTAACAATAAGAATAAACTTGTTATTGAATACCGAATAAACCGGATACATTCATTGCTTGCATAATGTAATAATAATAATTTCTTCCATCCATTATATGTATATATTATGTGCATTTTGAATATTAAATGGTAATTAAAATTTAAATATAATAATTATTGATTATTTACATTTAAGAATAATAAAAATCCTGTTTCGCTGGCGTGAACTGTAACTTGCAGCGACTGGCAGTGCCTACTTTATTTGTGCAAACTTTACGGTAAGCAGGCGGTGGCGCCGGGTTGAGTTTCATGTAGCGTGGAGGCACCGCGGGCCATGCATCTGCTGCTAACAATCTTGTTAGTGCCTACATCCGCGCCAACCATGTCCGCTTCATGCAAACAACCGCCGGCGACCGCACGCCACATCTGAGCGCCGTCGGCCAGCGTTCACGCCACGGTCATCGTCAATGTTGCCGTCACGGCCATCGTCAACGTTCACGCCACGGTCATCGTCAACGTTCACGCCACGGTCATCGTCAACGTTCACGCCACGGTCATCTTCAACGTTTACGCCACAGGCATAGTTAAACACCACACCTATCGCGTGCCTAACTCGCCCTAGCTCACCCTACTCCACTTCATTCCAATGTTTCCCGCTATAGTCAACCCACTGCCACCCTATGATACTTCACTTCCTTCAATCATCTTCGATATCGCTCTATCCAAACCTACCATATCGCATCAATCGCACCACACTCTACCGCACACAAATCCTACACCACCTCATCCGACCACATACTACCACACCCATCACATTGCACTCCACCAAACCCCACGCCAATTCACATTTATAGACATACACTTATACGCGCATACATACATATACACACTTGCACGTACGGGCATTCGAATATAATCAGGAGTTAATAATGACAAATTTGTCATTATTAACTCCTGATATAGTCGAATGCAATTGACAGCAATGAAATTCACAGAAAACCTATTCCGCTTTGTCATAATGATTTCATACACTATGGGAAGATACGGCGGAGATTATACTAAAATAAACTACTAATAAGTAACTATAACTAAGTTACCTGATTAAATTATTTTAGTGCGTTACCGTGTTAATTTTACTCTAATGTTTACGTAACATTACAATTTCTCGCTGCCTCTTCCTCCCCCCTCCCTCATCTCTCTCTCTCTCTCTCTCTCTCTCTCTCTCTCTCTCTCTCTCTCTCTCTCTTTCTCTCTCTCTCTCTCTCTCGCTCTCTCTCTCGCTCGCTCGCTCGCTCTCTCTTGCTCTCTCTCTCTCGCTCTCTTTCTCTCTTTCTCTCTCTCTTTTTCCCCCTCTCTCGCTCTCTATGACGTGATAGTGAAATCTCGTATTCGTCTACTAGTAACCGCTTGCTGCTATTGCTGCTGGCATCACTCCGCCCCGGTCCGCACCTTCCATGATTTAGTGTGAATACATTTCTGCGTTTGAAACGTGTTGCCAACGTGCTGTGAATTCTGTGCGCGGGTTAACTGGGTGTGACTCGCAACTCGACGCCTCCCTTCTTTATTATCCGTGGTGTTCTCGCGTTCGAGACTGGCAGAGGTGAGACGAGACAGTACCACCAAACAGCGATTCCTCACGGTATCAAGAACAATAGTTTGACCGACGGTAGTCACAAAGGGTAAAGGCGGTCAGTGAACAGGAAGGGTTCGTGCCAGCCTCATTGCCCCAACACAACGCGGCTTTGCTCATTTTGGAATAGTCTACATCAGCTACTTGTCCTGCATCCTCTTTAGTGAATTGGCAAGTTTGCAATAATTTTACGACTCGGAAGTTAAAATTATGATCGCACTAATTACTTATTTATGCATGTATTACGTCGCGTAATAGCCGTCACGATTGAAATGTTTCATACGCATACACTTACCGGAACAATTTAGATACTGTAGATACTCGTAGATATTTTTCGTCTACCCATCCTCTTGTTATACAGTTACATGTGTGAAATCATCAGCTGATAGAGTTGACGAAATAGGGAGAGAGTTTGTTATTTGATCCAATATGGCGTCAGCCCCGAGGCGGTTTGCAGGCGACAAGACCTGGCACACAGACGCTGATACTAAGCAGGCGCGATCAACCATTCCCCGTGAAATGCTAGGAGGAGCTGTATTATTACTAACACATACGCACGCACGCACGCCCCCCCCCCCACACACACGCATATATATATATATATATATATATATATTATATATATATATATATATATATATATATATATATAGCAAAGAGTTAACATGCACTGGAATGTAATTTTCCACGTGCTGTTTAGCCGAGCATTTTTATTAATATAAACTGTCGCAATAAATAGCGGAAACTGCAACGCTGCAATCACTGACACACGCGGAAAGAGAAAGTGACATGTCTTGAGCATTAACAGTTTAGAATCATTGTTGGAGATTGGTAAGCAATTTGAAAATGCCACCGCAATGATGCCTATAGAAACCACGTGATTGCTTTTAATGATGACGTAACTGGAGCAGTATTTCGTGATTCGGCGTGTCGTATTTTACTCTCCGAGAAAATCAGTAGCCTCTCCTATCTATCGGATAAAAGTATTATTCGCCAATCTGCTACACACGTGTTGTCTCGTCACGCGAATTTTTACAGCTGGTTGCAACGAAGCGCACGCTCGCTGCGTTGGAAAGGATCCGTCGCAGATGCCGGCCTATATAACGATCAAAGAAGCGGTAGCGTCAATGAAAGACTGACGTCGGCCTTCTCCTTGACGTGGAGCGAACGAGAGACCGCGCGTGCGCGAGTGTTGCAAACAGCCTCGCTACATTCCGGCGGCCGCCTATACACGACGCTACCGCGCGAACACCTCTTACCCCGCACGCTCGCTAGGCCGGTAATTTCACCTGTTACTCCTCAGAACACTTACGTGATTTTTTTCGTTCTACGTTAATATTAATTTTTACGTTTTTTTCTCCGTTCGACAGTAGAAAATTGCGCACGGATTGATTGTTCTTATTAGGCAGTAGTGAGAAGCATGGCCCGGCGGAGGGGCCCGGCTCAGGAATGACCGGCCGCCTGTGCTGCAGGGCGAGATTTCGCCCCTAGACATGCGTGCATCGTAGAACCGCCGGTACGACTCACGCTGGAGAGGTGGGGAAAACGGCATCGCTACATTATGCATGCCGCAGTGGATACAGCAATTGCAGAATTTAGAACCTCTACTTAACGAAAAATGCTTTGTTAGCGTTCAGGGAGCCGAGCTTCGTACACGCCGGGACGGAGAGGCGGCTGGGTCTGTACGTCGTAGATCTGTTACGGCTGCCAGGACGGTGACAAGCAGATTGCCGCGAACAGACATGCACGCACCCACGCACGCACGCACGCACGCACGCACACACACACACACACACACACACACACACACACACACAGCACGCGCGTACGTATGTACATACGCGCGCATGCACGCACAGAAGCATGAACGCGCGCACGTTCGTACGCACACATGAACGCGCGTTTTTACACGCACGCATGCACGCACACACAACACGCGCGTACGTGTGTACCTACGCGCGCATGCACGCACAGAAACATGAACGCACGCACCACATAAACGCGCGTTTTTACACGCACGGACGCATGTCTGTGCCCAAACGCCGCGAACGACGGTCTCGACTCAAACAGCAACTAGTAGCGTCGGCGACTTAGGCTGCCGTATTTCGCGTCGTAAACATGCGCGTGACCATACTGTGCGCTTCAACAAACGCTAGACTTAGCCCATACGCCTCCGGTATGACTCTCCGACCATGTAACAAGATGGCCGACAGTGGAAAAGTCGTACGCTGTGCCGCACTGTGCACGCGGCCACGCTAGCAAGCTTTAGATCTTTTACACACACACATACACACACACACACACACACACGAAGTGGCTTGAGGGCTACACAAGCACACACAGCACACACAGGCGAGCAGCAGCAGCGACGCACCGCAACTGCGACCTGCCACGCACGCACGAACGAACGCACTGCCACGCACGCACGCAACGCACGCAGCCACTGCACGCACGTAATATATGATATATATATTATATATATACCCCCTAACCCTCACCTATTACTCACCTCCTTCCCTACCCTATTCACTACTCTCCACTCACTACTTCATACTACCTACCTCACCTTAATCACTCACTACTCACCTACTACCCCTCACTACTCTACTCCACTCTCACTCACTCATATATATACTAGAAATATATATATCCACAAGTTTCAATTGTTAAAACTGAAATAGAAGAGCTACAACATGATAAGCCTTATGACTGTCTTAAATTCGCAAACGAGTCGGTTATAGTTTCGTTTTACAATTTTTAAATTTATCATTC